TTATAGGTAAAAAGAGAGCTTGGTACAAAAGGATTAAGAATGGGGAAGTCAGTTTAGAACAGGAATTCATACAACTGGTTAGAAATGTTAAAAAAGAGATTAGGAAAACAAAAAGAAACTATGAAGTTCGCATAGCAGAGCAAGCAAAGTCAAATCCTAAAGGGTTTTTTCAGTTATATCGAACTAAGACTAGGGAAAGGATAGGTCCATTAAAATTTGAGACAGGTCAAATAACGGATAATGACAAGGAGATGAGTATTATTTTTAACAAATATTTTATATCTGTATTTACTAAAGAAGAACTTAACAATATGCCTTCAGCTGAACAAGTCTATGTAGGTGGGGATGAGGACAGGTTGACTAGTTTAGCAGTTACCAGGGAGGATGTAATTAAACAATTAGAAAAACTAAAACCAAACAAATCCCCAGGGCCGGATGAAGTGTTTGCCAGGGTGCTTAAAGAATGCAAAGAGGAGCTTTCCGAGCCACTGTCTACCATATTTAATAAATCAATAGAGTCAGGCAGAGTGCCAGAGTCATGGAAGGTAGCTAATGTGGTACCAATCTTTAAGAAAGGAGATAGATCACTTGCGTCAAACTATCGGCCAATTAGCCTAACGTCTATTGTGGGAAAGTTACTTGAATCAATAATTACAAATACAATTCGTCTCCATCTTGAAAAACATAAATTAATAAATGAGTCGCAACATGGTTTTACAAATGGCCGTTCATGTTTAACAAATTTGCTAACTTTTTATTCCAGCATAGTTGAGGCAGTTGATAGTGGTAAGGATTGTGATGTTGTGTACCTTGACTTTAGCAAAGCTTTTGATACAGTGCCACATGAAAGACTAATTAAAAAAATAGAAGCTCATGGTATTGGGGGTGCTATATTAACTTGGATTAGGGCATGGCTATTCCAAAGGAAACAGAGAGTTAGTATAAATGGGGTTAAGTCAGAGTGGGATAATGGTAGTAAGAACAAAGGTAACTGTTAGTGGAGTACCTCAGGGCTCTGTCCTGGGACCTCTGTTGTTTATAATACATATAAATGATTTAGATTCAGGTTTGAGTAGCAACATTTGCAAATTTGCCGATGATACGAAAATCGGTAGGGAAATTAATTCGGAGGAGGACTCACTATGACTTCAAGTTGATCTAGATAGGGTTTTGAAATGGTCAAAAGATTGACAAATGCAGTTTAATGCTGATAAATGTAAAGTTCTGAGGCTAGGTAATGATGATAGTTACAAGATACGAGCTAGATGGTGTTGAGATTGCGAAGTCGGATTGCGAAAGGGATCTGGGAGTTATGATTAGTAAGAATTTAAAACAAAAGGATCAATGCATGAATGTTCGTAATAAGGCGAATAGGACACTGGGATTTATTAATCGAAGCGTTAGTAACAAGACACCTGGTGTGGTTCTTAAGCTATATCTTGCTCTGGTTAGGCCCCATTTAGATTATGCAGTTCAGTTTTGGTCGCTGTATTATAGAATGGATATAAATTCACTTGAACGTGTCCAACGTAGGATGACTAAGTTAATTCCCCAAATTAGAAATCTTTCATATGAAGAAAGATTAACAAAGCTTAAGTTGCATTCACTGGAAAGGCGAAGAGTTAGGGGTGACATGATAGAGGTTTACAAGTGGATGAATGGACATAACAGGGGGGATATTAATAGGGTATTAAAAATATCAACACAAGACAGAACACGAAACAATGGGTATAAATTGGATAAGTTTAGATTTAGGAAAGACTTGGGTAAATACTGGTTCAGTAACAGGGTTGTTGATTTGTGGAACCAATTGCCGCGTAACGTGGTGGATGTGGGGTCCCTCGATTGTTTCAAGCGCGGGTTGGACAAGTATATGAGTGGGATTGGGTGGTTATAGATAGGAGCTGCCTCGTGTGGGCCAATAGGCCTTCTGCAGTTACCTTTGTTCTTATGTTATAAATACTCATACTCCGCCCAAGTAAAACAAAAACAAGCAACACATAGTGGGCCAGCCAGAGGCTTAGGGCCCGCGCAGGAATATCCCTGCGAAAAAGAAAAAGTCTTCCCAAGAAGCCATTAGTCTGCTTGTTTACATTTCCTCTCTCCACAAGTGATGACCAATTGCCGGCAAAGAGCCATTTTTTTAATAAAATTTGAGAACAAATAGATATCTACAATACGACTTATTTTTGTTTGATTATTTACCAGACGACTTCCAACACCCAAGACTTTCATCACTTTTTTTAACTGCTTGTTGTGCACCACCCTGACAGTCCCCTTGCAGACAATGCCAGATTGTCCACCAACCTACCGGGCCACACATTTCATTGTGATAATCAATGGACCTACTAGTTCCAGAAGTAAAACATGTGTATTGGGCAAGTAACAAAATAGACAGACTAACAGACGTTATCAGAGCTCGAATAAGACTTGGCTACAAGTATCTCTGGCAGTTCGGCTTGTATAGGGATCTAGATGAAGTAAAGTGTAAAGTGTGTGGACAAAGACAGGGACACACACTCGAACACTATATCTTGGATTGTAGTAAAATTGAGCCATTTAGAGATAAATCTAAACTCACGTTGTATGATATGGCAACCTATCTTATTACCATGGATAAATTACCTGAAATCTTTGCACTGTATCCATATTTCGCTTCCAGTAGATAAACGACATATGAGATTAAGAAAAAGTAGTGTATTGTGAAGACTAATAATAAACAGAAGCTACCCTATGACTTTGTAAAATCTCCATTGCTCAGACAATTATGTATTAGCGATAAGACCTACCATTAATGAATAATGACTTACTTTAAATATATAGCTCTTGAAAAAGAATACTCTCTGTAACTAGCTGACACTGTAATTATAAGGTGTGAAGGATATATGAAATTGTTTACGAAACTGACCTCCGTTGATGTCTGATAAAGACCAATGTGCCTTCTGTAATGGTTGTTGCGCTACCGCTCAGAGCATGAGTATGGGGTGCACAATAAACTAGCTGCCTCCGGCGGCAACAATCAAACCTACCGCGCAGGTTGTCCATCAACTTGACAGTCCTCCTGCAGACCATGATAGGTTGTCAGCTAACTGGTGTCGGTCGCAGACCGTTACAGGTTGTCAGCTATAACTGGTGTCAACCGCAGACCTAAGAAGAAACACATACAGCCCCGCTCCTGTGCCATGTAAGTCCACTACGGGCTCACCATACCCCGCGTTACTTGGCCCGCTCCTGTGCCTGTAAGTACACTACGGGCTCACCATAGCCCATGCTACTTGGCTCGCTCCAGTGCCAGGTAAGTACACTACGGGCTCACCATAGCCCATGCTACTTGGCTCGCTCCAGTGCCAGGTAAGTACACTACGGGCTCACCATAGTCCGTGCTACTTGGCTCGCTCCAGTGCTAGGTAAGTACACTATGGGCTCACCATAGCCCATGCTACTTGGCTCGCTCCAGTGCCAGGTAAGTACACTACGGGCTCACCACAGTCCGTGCTACTTGGCTCGCTCCAGTGCTAGGTAAGTACACTATGGGCTCACCATAGCCCATGCTACTTGGCTCGCTCCAGTGCCAGGTAAGTACACTACGAGCTCACCACAGTCCGTGCTACTTGGCTCGCTCCTGTGTCAGGTAAGTACACTGCGGGCTCACTATATCCCATGCTACTTGGCTCGCTCCAGTGCCAGGTAAGTACACTACGGGCTCACCATAGTACGTGCTACTTGGCTCGCTCCTGTGCCAGGTAAGTCCACTACGGGCTCACCATAGTCCGTGCTACTTGGCCCGCTCCTGTGCCAGGTAAGTCCACTACGGGCTCACCATAGCCAGTACTACTTGGCTCGCTCCTGTGCCAGGTAAGTACACTACGGGCTTACTATAATCCGTGCTACTTGGCACACTCCTGTGTCAGCTAAGTCCACTTCGGGATCACCATAGCTCATGCTACTTGGCTCGCTCCAGTGCCAGGTAAGTCTACTACGGGCTTACCATAGTCCGTGCTACTTGGCCCGCTCCTGTGCCAGGTAAGTCCACTACGGGCTCACCATATCCCATGCTACTTGGCCTGCTCCTGTGCCAGGTAAGTCCACTGCGGGCTCACCATATCCCATGCTACTTGGCTCGCTCCAGGGCCAGGTAAATACACTACAGACTCACCATAGTTCGTGCTACTTGGCTCGCTCCTGTGCCAGGTAAGTCCACTACGGGCTTACCATAATCCGTGCTACTTGGCTTGTTCCACTGCCTTGTAAGTCCACTATGAGCTCACCATAATCCGTGCTACTTGGCCTGCTCCAGTGCCAGGTAAGTACACTACGGGCTCACCATAGCCCGTGCTACTTGCAACTTTGTGTTCCCAGTAGCTGAATGTAAAACAACAACAACAACGCAGACCGAAAATAGTTTGCAGCTGCCTGGTGCCCGGGATGCTCCTGCGAGAACGTGAGGTGCGTCCAGCTTACTGCGGAGTGCGGGTGAGGTGACGGCTGCTGCAGCTTGCCACGTTGGCTGTAGTTACCTGTAAACCATTTCGAGAGTTGTACTCTCGCATCCTGATCATGTATGGTCCGCCACAACTTTGGGATTTCCCGCGCACCAGCACCAATGCAGCCTTGATCATTTGTTCACTTTCCTTCGCCCAAGTCCCCACGTTTTCGTCCGCAGTTGCTAGTTCAGTGTCATATTGACCGGGTGTTGTGAGAGATGATGCATGTAGGCACAGGCTGTAACTTATAGGCATTACACAGGGGATGTCCATCAAATAGCATAGTCGTAATTAAACGAAGTTGCAAACATTTTCAAACAGATCTTCAAACGGGAGCAAAAGTGTAATTTCCCCGCCGCCATTGCAAGCGTTCCGCCTCCCTGGGAGACTCACTCGCACGGAACGTAAAACTATCCAATAAAGTTACTCTTTAGGGAGCAAATTAAAACATCCAACAATATATAAAACAGCAACTTGCAGCGTTATACGCAGTACAAATAAGTTTTAGTGAGGTATATTGTGTGAGGTGAGCGATGAGTAGGGAGAGTATGTGGGGCGAGGAGGCAAGTCTAGCGAGCGCCACCACCACTTGGTCCGTGGCAAGCGACAAGGACGGAGGTGCGTGTCCTGGCTCCTCCCTCCTGCTACCTCTCTCACCAGTCACTCTCACAATAATCACCTGCTTGGATTGTTGTTGTTTTTTTAAGTGAATTTATTAAGAGCGGCTGTTACCACATTCAACCCCCATTTGCAGAACTAGCGAACTGCTCGTTCTCACCTCCAGCAGGAGCTGTCGACTTGGGATCTGAAGCACTTGAAGGTTGTGTGTTCTCAACTGCGGCTCGGCCCACGTCTTCCTCGTCCACCTGCAGGAGCTCTTACACCAAGCCAGAGACTCTACGTGGTCTTCAGGTGAGGCAGCTGCAGTGTTTGGGGCGAGGTACAGTTACTGCAGGTTTGGCCTTGGTTCCAGGCTTTCAGCACATGTACTCGTGGATTTTCGTAGAAAGTTAAATATTATTAACATTATAGATTCACAAGAATTATTAAATACGGTTGCTTATTGACTAATCTAAAATAGCGGCCGAAAGTTACGAGACTTCATTAATGGTTCTTGATTTCTTGGAACTTTCGTCCATGTTAAATTGTTAACTAAATAATCTTTGAGTGTCCCGGGACCCTCGTTCAGCAACACACTATGGAATGTTGAAAACTGTGGACAGCCTAAACACGAAACGAATTAGATATTTTACCATATCGTGACGAGTGGTGTAGGGGTTGACACAAGGACCATTGTGAGAAATTCAAATCCACGACTTTTAGACTGTTGATATAATCCTCATAATACCACGGATGCAAACTTTTTCTTATTCTTCGTAAACCCATAATTTAAATACACACATCCAAGGCAGTATTAGAGGCATATATTGCCAGCCGTAAGCTATAGCATTCACACCCCTCCATCCCCTAATTTAAGGCATAAAGAGTTTAGTTCAGTTAATTTATTACGCACCTCATAACCCATCTTGTGGGGCGGTAGTGGAAAGAGTTAGAGGCACATAATGGGCTCAGGGACTGAACCCCACAATTCATTTAGCTAAGCTAGTTACAATCTTGATGAGCTAGTTACAATCTTGATGAGCTAGTTACAAAATTCTGTGCACATAGTTACATCATCAGTGGGCTCGAGATCGACCTCAAGTACAGGTTCTAAATTAGGCAACCGACATAAGTGGAGAGCTAGTGTCATAATTTATATGTTGATCCTGCACACCGCCCCCCCCCCTCAAGTGAGCAGCGGTGGATAGGTTACAATCACTTGGTACAATCACTACCTACAGTTAGCAAACTGGGGATATTTGGCTAAGACTTCTGGCAGCAGATAATTTTGAGTGAAGCCCGTTACTGCCACTACAGATGCGACATTTGTCTTGATACTCGAGTGTGGCATCTTGAGGCGTCGTGACACTGTTTACAGAGTGGCACCAGCTGAGGCCTCCCAGCTGGACACTCCCGGCTCCCTGGCAAGATGTACCTTGGCCGCAGGACACTCTCGTCAAGGGCGCCGGTAAACCTGTACAGAATATGCTTTGGATGTTGATTCTATCTTTATACGACATAGTTTCTGTAATAAAATATTAAACTCTGATCCTCGACAGTTTGTTGTACTCCACTAACGGTGCTTACAGGGAGTGAGCTTCAGCTCTTGTGCCCAAACAATCTGGGTTATATCTTGTGAATGATCTATTTTACAAATTCGATGCCCTAGTTTAATTACCCTGACAGTCGTATTCAAGTCATAAACATTCTGTACATAAATCATCGGTATGTTGGTCCTGACTGGGTGTTATGGACCAGTCGCCTTGGTGGCAGACTCGTAGTGGCGCCTCACACCACCTCATCCCTAACTCTGTCCATGGACCACGCAAGAAAATGCATATATGCTAGTTAGCATTGTAAATGTGTTGCCACGTCTGTGGTAGAAAATAATAATACAAAAACTCATAGCTGGCAGGAAACCTGCTGGGCCTGTAGGAAGCCTGCTCGCCTTGTAGATTATCCCACTTGGCGTGAGGGGACTTTCTTTACTATCATTAGGCAAGGGACGGATGATTTTTAAGATAGTCTGCAATAAGTGACCTACTTGTGTATATTGTTGGACGAGTATTTAAGTTATCTTTTGGCTAGACTGCCAGCATGTGGAGCTCTTAAATATTTGATGAAAGCATAAACATGCAAACTTTACATCCGGATGTACAATCCCAGGTTGGAACCAGTTTCCGGGAATCCCATGAAGTTGCCCCAGCCACCCCCACGCGCTCCCCATGATCGTTTCTCCTGGGAGGCCGTCCCGGAGGGTCCTGGCTCAGAGGAGCGCTCTGAGCCTGACCTTGGCTTTTATGCTCCCCATGTCTCTTCCTGTTTTGTTGGTGGGAACCCGAGGCTCGCCGCCAGGTTCCGTGCATGCTTCTTTCTCTGCCAGCATCTGCTCGCATAGCGTATTCATAATAGTAGTTGCAGCCCGTCCTCATATAGGCCAGATATTTTCAAACATAACATATGAATGAATAACTACAGAAGGCATATTGGCCCATACGAGAGAACTCCTATTTTATATCCACCCAATATCGTTCATATCAGAGTCTAACCTTCGCTTAAAACAATCAAGGGATCCTACTTCTATTACGTCACGCGATAATTGGTTCCACAAAACCACAACGCTGTTACCGAACCAGTATTTTCCACCAACCCCTTTCTTTATGAAAAAAAATCTTTTATAGTTGACCTGTCTTTGGTCTATAAATCGCACTAATAAAGTTCGACGTACCGTGTATTCAAAATGTGTGCTCGTATATAAATTAATATTATAATTGGCACACATAGACATCACAATAGCGTGATATGTCAAATGAACAAATCCACGAGCGCCGTAGGGTCGAACCCTCATCACGGCCCTTGTGAATTTGTTTTTAATTGGTGTATGGCTTTAATTGTAAGTTTAGTTACGGTCAATTATTTGTATTAGTAGTTCGTGTCTGAATCAGTGATGTGGTTCGAACAGAAAACGTCAACAAAGCACTGTTTGAGAAACGTTTGAGCATCAGAGGAGTCTTGTAACCATGCCGTCCTCGTCAACCATCCCATGCTCAATTAAAATTAAATGCTCCTTAATCCAGCCGACGAACCTATTAATGAATGGACAACGGTTTACACACGACTCGCAACTGATGACGTTTGAACAGTTCCGGAACGAGTGCTTCACTGACGAATTTGGTTTGAATCACAACGCTGTAAATGCCTCACCCAGGTACTACAAATAATCGCCAACAGAACCTAAACACCTAACCTATGCCTATATATGCACAATATGCAAATATATTAACTTATATTTGAGAAAATTCCTGTTTTGAATGAACAGCATGTTAAAATTTATGAATTCGTGTGTGGGGTCGACCGCTGGATGTAATTGACTTGAGTAAAGGACGGGTTGGTAAATGCAACAAATGGACACAAGGCCGGTGTGATGGAGGGGGGAAGATCGGCACTCACCCCCTACACTTTGAAGCCATCTTTACAGCACTCTAAACAAGGATCAGACACCCAGGATGGGTCCAGCAGCCTCCCTGGCTGACAAGTGATAATGACCACTTTGAGGAGAACCTTGACCTGCGGGGGTGACCCAGGGTTGTGGGACAATATTCCCTGCCCCACTCCTCTCTGACTGCTGGAGTCAGCCCTTGGTAGCGTATCCTGGAATTGAGAGCAGCGCTGGATGATTATTCCCACTCCAACAACTTGTTTGTGTGTGGAGGTATTCTCCACCATGCTGCAGGTCGGTACACCACCGTCCCTCACAAACAGCCTCGATTTGATCAACCTTTTATGCGATAACAATAATCACATTATGCAAGTTTGAATGCCCCGTTCTCTATATTTAAGGAAGCACACTCGTGCTCTTGCTATTTTCCCCTAAGGTTTCACAGAGTTCTAACATTCTTGTACAGCCATTACCACGCATAGCGCTGCGGGCAGGAAAATTAATCCTAATTTTCCCCAAAATACGACCCACCGAATCGTTTAACAAGCAGGTACCCATTCACTGCTGGGGTGAACAGAGGCTACAGTTAAAGATTGGCGCCTAGTCAGTCCTTCCCGGTAGGATACGAACCCAGGCCAAAGCGCTCGCGAAGCAGCCCGTCCTCCTAAAGTTTCCCAACGTCAAGAAAACGGTCAATTTGAAGTGTCTTCTCCTGACCTACCAGAGGACTTAAAACGGGACAGTAAGTCACTTTCGCCAGCCGCTCCCATTTTCTAGCACACTTTTTGGCCTTCTGTAACGCGTACGTGCTAAAAGCGACGTTTTTTGGAAGACTGGTTATACTCGTCTAGTTGTACTAGTTGTGCTTGCGAGGGTTGAGCTCTGGCTCTTTGGTCCCGCCTCTCAACCGTCAATCAACTGGTGTTCAGATTCCTGAGCCTACTGGGCTCTATCATATCTACATTTGAAACTGTGTTTGGAGTCGACCTCCACCAAATCACTCCCTATTGCATCCCATTTAACTACTTTCAAATTTCAAATGTTTCAAATTCAAAATTCAAATGTTTATTCAGGTAAAGTACATACATACAAGGTGTGATACAAATATTGATGAATTTATAGATAGAGCTAGTACATACAATGCCTAAATCCACTATTACGCAAAGCGTTTCAGGCAGGATAAACACTAAAGACTAAAACTTAATACTAATTGAGATTAGATTATAAAATGTGTTGAGAAAATATAATATAAAAAGGGGGGAACATGGCAGCAAAACGGCAAAAAAATACATTTGGTCGACAAACAGCAGTTAAAAAAAAGACATGGGTTGACAATATAGGGGTAAGGTTGGTTACAGGGAGTTAATTAGGTCGTACTTAGTTTTTATCTTAAACTGGTTGAGAGAGGCACAGTCTTTAACATGATTGGGAAGGTCATTCCACATTCTGGGTCCCTTGATTTGTAGAGCATTTCTAGTTTGATTAAGTCGTACTCTTGGAATATCAAAAAGGTATTTGTTTCTGGTGTGGTGCTCATGGGTTCTGTTACAACCTTCTAGGAAGCTTTTAAGGTCAGGATTGACATTACAGTTCAGCATTTTATATTATATAATATATGTATGTATATATATTTATGTATATAATACAATATGTATGTATGTAATACACATGAGAGGATGTGCAGTGACTTTATATCTAACATATGCAGAGATTTGAGTAGGGGTACCGAGTGATATCTGGGGCCAGAGTTGGATATTGTCCTAACAGCAGCTTTGTGTTGGGTAATTAGAAGACGTAAATGATTTTGGGTAGTAGAACCCCAAGCACAAATACCATAGTTGAGATAAGGATAGATGAGGGAGTAATAGTGTCA